CAGCCTGCGTGGGAACTCCCTGGGCCCAGCAGGGGCCAAGGCCGTGGCCAACGCGCTCAAGGTGAACCGCAGCCTCCGCTGGCTCAAGTGAGTATGGCATCCCCAGCCAGCCTGGGCAGGCATTCCCTTGGGAACAGCGGGGATGGCCAAGCCAGGCTCCCAGAAGGACAGACCCTGAGCAGGTGGCTCAGTGCATTCCCTCCCCACGTGCTGGCGCTGTCTGACCCTCCTGCCTCCCGCAGCCTGCAGGAAAACGCCCTGGGCATGGACGGAGCCATCTGCATCGCCACGGCCCTCAAGGGCAATCACGGCCTCACCTATGTCAAGTAAGTGGCTGCTGCAGGGAAGGCAGGGATGGGGAGAGCACGGAACCATGCAGGGACCTTCTCCCTGCCAGCCCTGCCCTCTCCTGGCTGTCCCACAGGGCAGGGACATCCCGTGCCCCTCCCAGTGTGAAAGCACCATCCCCACAGCTCCGGAGCCCTCAGCTCCCCTCCAGGGAACCACCTCAAAAGAGAAATCCTCTCCAAAGCCAGGGGAGAAGGGGCTCAACCCCTCCAGCTGCCCAGGGCTGTGCCAGCTCCTCCCTTGGCTGCCTCAGGGCTCTCAACCAGCAGGGTCCTGCACGGGGTGGGGTGGGCACAGGTGATGCCAGATTGTCACCAGAGGACATGAAACAACACAATGTGCACACACTGCTGTTAAGGTGAAAAAAGGGAAGTTTGTTTTCTGACTCCAACATCTATAGATTCCCAAAAGTGACAGTGGATTGGAGGGTGACAGTGCCACCTCTCCAATGACACTGGACAAACCAACAATCCATCACATTTCTCCTCCTCCATAAAAGAATGCAAACCAATAAGTTATTTACATAAAGTGTGTGAGAAAGTTCATTACAAGAATGCAGTGGGCTCCTGGGGCTGCAATACTCATCAGAAGGCTTAGTGAATCTTAGAAAATCAGGGTGACACCAGATGCTGGTGCAAAGCTGGGCACCATCTGCTGTCCCCAAGGATCCTGCTGTGCCTCGTGCCCCAGTGTCTCTCTCTCCCCCAGCCTGCAGGGGAACCTCATCGGGGACTCGGGAGCCAGGATGATCGCGGACACCATCCGGAGCAACGCGCCCGACTGCGTGGTGGACGTGTGAGGGACCCGGCTGCTCAGAGGGGACCGGGGTGCCCCTGCCCTGGGTGACTGCAGTGCCCATCTCAGGGATGAGAACTGGGCAAGGACAGTTCCTGAGCTCCTGGAACAGCCCAGGAGGACCGAGGGCATTGGATCAGGAGTGCAGGAGGGTCAAGACTCGCGTTGAAAGCTGAGGGATGCGTGTGCCCATGTCTGTGTTCATCCAGGCCCTGGGGGAGCTTCAGGGAATGGGGAAAATGCAAAAAGGAGTGAGGAGGGGCAGATGCCACAGCCAGACCTTGTTTTTGTGGGGGTTTATCTGTTGGTTGCAGCAACTCCTCCTGTGCTTTGTCACTCCTGGCTAAAAGCAGCCCAGTCCAGCAGGGTCCTCTGAAATCGCAGCTGGACACAGAGATTTGCTGCTGCCTTGCTCAGGTGGGAGTGATGCTGTGCACCTGGCACTCCAGCAGGTCCTGGCTGGTGCTGTGCCCTCAGTAACAGGCTGGCACTGGCCAGACACACCTGCAGTGTTTGGCAGAGCTGTTCTCTAACAAGAAGAGGTAACCCAAGGCATAGGAGTGGAACCATCTTGGAAAATAAAGAGTCCTCAGGAAAATGGAGGAGTAAGAAGGGGAATGTAAGAGAACTGCACTGCCTGAGGGTGGGATGTCTCCAGTACATCTTGGTGCTACACCAGGACTGCCTCACTCAAACTGCTGCCTCTCAGCCTCAGGCTGGAGCTCTTGGACCTCCTGCTGCTCTCACGGTGTTCTGTGACCTTGTGACACATCCTCCTGATGTCCCAGCTGCAGGGTCTGTCCCTTGCAGGTCACCTTCTGACCAGGAGAGCAGAGGTGGTGCCTTTGTGTGTGTGGCAGGGACCCAGTGACTCCCAGAGGTGCCGGGTTTGCAGGTGACCCAGCAGCCAAACTGTGAACCCTCAGAGCCCCTGAAGCCACTGTCCCCAGGCAGGACACTCTGCCACACTCAGGGCAGCCAGTGGCTATGCAGGGACCTGGGGGCTGATCCCACAGACACTGGGCTGAGCTCTGGAGATGTAAATGCTTGGGAATAAATTCATTTCTGGATGAGAAGATGCTTTGTGCAGCCTTGCTCTTGCACTGCAGGACATTTGGGACGGGCTGTGCTCCCCTGCCCTGGCTGAGAGCTCAGGTCTCTGGCACCAGCAGGGCTCTGCCACCTGCCTGCTGGCTGTGCTGGAGGCTAGGTGGCACTGCTGCCTGGAGAGAGAGGCTCTGGCTCTGTGCACACCAGCTGTGGAGTCACTTTTTCATTTACAGGAAATAGAGAACTGTGACTCAAGCTGCAGCCCTGCTCTCGGGGGTCAGATCATCACAGAATGGTTGGGTTGGAAGAAATCTCAGAGCTCATTCATTCCCACCCCTGCCATGGCAGGGACACCTCCCACTGTCCCAGGCTGCTCCCAGCGCTGCCCAGCCTGGCCTTGGGCACTGCCAGGGAACAATTCCCAATTCCCAATATCCCATCCATCCCTGCCCTCTGGCAGTGGGAGCCATTCCCTGTGTCCTGTCCCTCCATCCCTTGTCCCCAGTCCCTCTGCAGCTCTCCTGGAGCCCCTTCAGGCCCTGGAAGATCTCCCTGGAGATTTCTCCAGTTTTATCTCCACTCCTTCACTCTCCCTGGTGCTGCTCTTTGTGCAGACAAGCCCTTGATTAAGTAAAGGATATGTTTAGGATAAATAGATTTAAGCCAGATTTAAAACCAATTGAGATGCATTCCCAGAGCAGCTTTTCATCCAGTTTTATTAAGCCAAAGAAATCTATTTGGACATAATAAAATGCAGGGAAATAAAGCACATGATGCTCACTGGAGTGAGGCTTCTGGCACTGCAGTGCACAAGAGCCAGTTTAGTGCAATTATGGAAATAAGTGCACATTACTGTGATTCTCATTATGGATAAACTGCTCATGCTTTGAGATTCACAAACCTGGCAATCCAAGTTTAATTTTCAGGTTTAATGAACATTATTTACCAACTCCTGAGTTCACACTGACACACACTTCTCAGACAGCAGGGTATTAGCTCCTGGCCTCTCCAAAACTGCTGCTTCAAGAGGCCTCCTGCTCCTGAAGGGTCAGAAGTCATTATCACTTTGCTCCAGCGGCTCTGGCTTCCTGGCTCGGAGACTGGATTTGCCTGGGGTGATTTCCATGCTGTCATCTTCCAGATCATCCTCCTCCTCCTCATCTTCATCTTCATCCAGGTCAATCTCACTATCCCCTGAGTCGTCCTGCAGGACAGGGAACAGGAGTCCATGACCAGCTCAGCTCTCCCTGGCCTCTCTGCCAGCCCCACGTGAGGGATGGGATGGCAGTGCTGGCTTCCCCTGCACTCCCAATGGATTCCAAACCTCCTTCCCCACCCACGGGGCTGATGAACACAAATTCCCTGACTTCTGCTGGCTCTGTGCTGTTCAACATTGTGGTGACAGCTGCTGTGAGCCCACAGAGTGGAGGGGAGTGGAAGAGAAGGAATCCCAGGAGAGGAACCCACCTGAGCCTTGCGCCGGCCTGGCCGTGCCGGGGCTGGGGTCCCCTGGAGAGCCAGAGTGGAGGAACACCAGAGGCAGAGCAGGAAAAAAAAGTACAAGAACATAAAAGAGACCAGAAAGTACCCAGGCTGGAGCAAGGGGGAAGGCAGCAAAGGCAGGCACAGCTCAGGGATCACAGCAGACAGGGGCTGGGCACACAGCACTGGCTCTTCCTGACTCCAGGAGTTCCTGGGGGGGCTCAAAGCAGCCTCAGTCCCTGGGCTGGGACACACCAGCAGAGCCTGCAGAGATCCCTGAGCTCTGGGAAGCTGCAGGCAGAGGGCAGAGCCGTGAGACAACTGCAGAGGCTGCAGCTGAGGGAAGTCACAGGCTGAAGGCCTTGGCTTTCCATCCCTGATGTGCTGGGGCTGTGCCAGCAGGGACAGAGCTGCCAGCAGGAGCTCTGAAGGGAACAGAAATCACAGAGGGTGACCATCCAAACCTGTCACTAACGTGGCCAAGGACAATCAGGCAGCACTGGGACTGAAGTGACATCTTCACCCACAGCACAGCACTCTGCCCTTCCCAGAAATGGGGCTGGATGTGCAGGAGGCAACAGCCCATTCTGGCAGGAGCAAAGAGCAGAGCAAGGGCTGCAAGTTCTCTCCAAGACACAAGGTGAGGGTGCCCCAAAAGCTGTGGCTGCCCCACCCCTGAATTAAGTCAGGCTGGATGGGGCTTGGAGCAGCCTGGTCTAGTGGAATGGGTCTCTGGGTGGAACAAGATGGGTTTTAAGGTCCCTTCCACCTCAAACTGCTCTGAAGTTCAGAAATGTCTGAACTGCCCTCCTTGAGGGGTGTCTGCTGGATTGAGACAGAAAGGTTCCACCCACACTGGGAATTAACAGCAGCACAGACTCAAACACAATCCCTCAGGCACCACAGCTGTACTGGTTCCTTGCCCTCTCCAAAAGTGTTCCAGCAGCACTGGAGAGAACAGCCCCACTGCCCCTGGCATGGCAGCAGCTTTTTGGGATGGTGGGGAGAGATAACTGCAAATGCCAAGCACATCCCAGCAGCTAGCTCTGGTGCAGATGTGGCCACCCAGGTGTGCCCAGAGGCACAGAAATGCTGCCCATGGGTGCCAAGGGCTGGGCACAGACACAGAGCAAGTGCTCCTGTGCAAAGCTGTGTGTGCTTTTCACACTGCCCACTCACATGGAAACCACAACCAAGGGCAAGGCCAGGAGCCCTGGGGCAGCAGGAATCCCAAGGGCACAGAGCCCAGTCCTGCTCTCATCCCTGCCCCATCCTGCAGGGCACTGGTGCTGCCAGCACAGGGCTCCAAGCAGTGACTTTAGAGCAGTGAAAGAGAATTAGGTCCATATATTTAACAGCTGCACTGGTCCCTCTGCCCAGAAATCTGCCCCACAGCTCACCAGAGCATTCCTGCAGCCTGTGTGCCACTAGTTCTGTACTGCAGGATGGGGGGAAAGCACATGGAGCACACAGACTCCAAGAACAAAGGAAAAATAAGGAAATATGTGTCTATGCCAAGAAAAGGAGTCAGCCATTGGAAAAGGAGGGGAAAAGCAGGCCTGGGGTGTGAGGATTCAGCAGGTAAAATCTGTCCTGCTGAGGAGACAGGGCATGTAAAGCCCTGTCAGAGAAGCTCTGCAGTCACATGAGCTGGTTACTCACATCCTCCTCTGTGTCTCCACCTTGCATTGATCCCACGATCCGCGTGCCAACTCTTCCTGCAGGAGCAAAGAGAATCCCATCAAACCTGG